TTTTTATTTTGTCTTTGGGGATTTCCTGAAGCGGCTGGGGAATAACTACCTTTATATGTGATTTCTGCTCTGTGTTTTTTGGGTTGTACGCTGTATTGTAGTCTGGGTATTTTTTATGTGTTTTATTTACATCTTTCTGTGTTTTACTAGGTCTTTATACAGGGTGGTCCTTAAGTAATTGTACAAAAAAAACCTTAGATTCTGTACTTTAAAATATTACAATTTAAGCCAAGTTGCTTTAATAAAATGTTGATATTAAGAAAGATACAGGTGTGTAAGTGGAAATTTAAAATTTTATTTTTCGCCATAACTTTTATGATTGTGAACATTCATGTATGAAAATTTACAAATGTTGCAATTATCATTTGATGCATACTTTGATGTAGCTCATAGAGGGCGCCACATATGCCACATATGTGGCATACATTTGCACTTAACTTTTTTGCTCATTAGGTAAGCGGTGTTTTTGATAAAAAATAATAAAGATACATTATTTTAACAAAAAAAGGTATATTTGTTAATAACTTCAAAACTTAACAGTTTTCGAGATAATCGCATTTTACAAATCAACTGCATAATTCTGATTTAACGCAATTACTCCAGGTAACGAAAGAAAATTAGAGAAAAACATCAATACTTCCGAATTTTGCTATAAAACCCCTTTAATATAGTTATTAGTTAACGAAATATTAAATAAAATAAATAAATATATCAGCAGGGTAATATTAATAGGATTTGGCAAAATAACAAAATAATTGGATTTTACATCAAACATTTTTTACGTTTTGTATTAAATTAAAGTCATAATCAAAACATTTTATTCACAAACCAAAATAAGAAATAGTTAAACTAAATAACATTAAATATTTTGTCAAAGTAAGTGTTCGATATGTCCACCATTTTCTTTACCACGACAGGCATTTTAAACATGAATTTTAAATAAAAGTATGGTTTGGAACCATTGCTAATTATTTTTTACGGACATGCGCATTATCTTGTAATTTGAATGGTGAGATTTACTTTTTTACTCTTTATTTCCTCTTTACCAAGATGGTACATCACCACATTATAGATAGAGGGCAGTGAGAACATACTTAAATACAACTTTCCTGAACTGGATTGGATTGGATTGGTTGGATTGTTCATAGTAGTCATATTCCTTGATCTTGTGGTGAAATATTATTATAATTATTTAATTCATTAAAATCCCAAAATAATACTTATTATTATATTTATAATACTTATAATAAATACTGCAGCAGTTTCTTTAAAAACAGTAATGCTATTTAATATGAGACGATATTTTATGGAATGTATTGACAAATGAATTAAAGAAAATTACGCATATTGAACACTTACTTTCATTAAAAGTAGAATGATGTTTTTAGTTTAATTATTTTTAAATGTGGTTTATAAATAAAATGTTTTGATTATGACTTTAATTTAATATAAAACGTAAAATGTTTGATGTAAAATCATATATATCATATGTAAAATCATATTATTCTGTTATTTATTAATTATCCTGTTAATATATTTTTGATTTTATTTAAGATTTCGTTAACTATTAACTTTATTGAAGGTATTTTATAATAAAATTCAAAATTATTGATGTTTTTGACTATTTTTCTTTCGTTGCCTGGAGTAATTGCTTTAAATCAGAATTATGCAGTTGATTTGTAAAATGTGATTACCTCGAAAACTGTTAAGTTTTGAAGTTATTAACGAATATACCTTTTTTTTTGTTAAAATAATGTATCTTTATTATTTTTTATCAAAAACACCGGTAACCTAAAGAGCAAAAAAGTTAAGTGCAAATGTATGCCAGAGATGTGGCATATGTGGCACCCTCTATCAGCTACATCAAAGTGTGCATCAAATGATAAATGCTAATATTCAATAGTACCCAGTTGTAAATTTTTATACATACAGTGCTTTTCAGATAAAACTATCTACCTTAAATAACTTTTGAACCTCTAATTTTTTGGAAAAACGCAAAAACACGTCAATTAATATCTGAAGGGGGAGACATAATATCATATTAAAGGTTGCTGGAAATGCACCTCTCACCCTGTATCAACCCTTTATTTTTTTTTAATTACTTCCCCCTTTTTTGTTTTATATTTGGATTCTCCTTTTTGTTCTGATTTCAAAAATGTATAATACCTTTGGCTTGAAGTGATTAGTTTATCAGATAGACAATTTTCCTGTTAACAAGACAGTATCTCACCTCACCTTAATTGACTCTAACAAAATAGGTTGTAGCATAATTTAAACTCTTTAAATATTTAACCGTACTATTTGTAGTACCTTTAAAAACCAAGAAACAAAAAAATTCACTTTTTATTCAAGTTTTATCAAAGGTTTTCGATATCATTTTTACATTTGTTTTAATCGGTTAATAGCGACAATTTGTTATAACTTGTAAGTAACAGCTTATTTTGATACGTGTGCAATTTGATCGCTGAAATGGTGTACACTTTGCAAGTAAGAATCGAAATTGTAGGTTTATACTACAAAAATAATAATTGTGCAAGAGCTGCTGCTAGAATTTTTAATGAAACACACCACAATAGACATGCAACTCATAAGTGTGTGATTGAACTGATGCAGAAAAAATTAGATCAAGAGGGTCAGTTTGCAATAAAAAACATAACCGACAGGAACTTGTAAATAAAAAAGCAATCCAAGTAGCTGTTTTAGGGCAAGTTAACTTAGACTCTTAACAATTACAGTCACTGTCAACAATAAGCAGAGCAATCGGTGTTTCATCTTCTATAGCCTTCCGAGTCCTCCATAAATTTAAGTTTTATCCATATAAAATTAAATTAGTACAAGAGTTAAATGAAGAAGATTTTGATCGTCGTCCCGAATGTTGCGAATTAATGATAAAATGCATCATTAACAATCCACAATTGTTAAACAATATTTGCTTCTCGGATTAATGCTCATTCTCATTAAACGGTTTGGTGAACAGATATAATTGCCGATACTGGGCTGAGAGTGATCCACATATTGTACGCGAATTTCACACACAGCATCCTCAAAGGTTAAACGTATGGTGTGGTATCCTACGTAATCACATTATCGGACCCTTCTTTATCACTGGAAACTTAAATGGTGCATCGTATCTTGAATTATATAGGCAAGTGGTTGATCGTTAAAACAATAGTAGCAAATGATGATAACCTTTCCGATGATTTGGTTGTATTTCAACATGATGGAGCTTCTCCACACTTTGCTTTACCTGTGCGATAATTTTTAAACGAAACGTTTCCCGGTCCTTGGATAGGTAAAAAACGACAGATGATCGATTGGCCACCTAGGTCACCGGATTGAACACCCCTAGACTTCTTCTTATGGGAGTATTTAAAAACAAAAATTATGCTACTCAACCAGAATATCTAGATGATTTACAACAAAGAATAGAGGATGAATGTCGACAATTAAATGCAGACGTGTTAAGCAATGTCAGAGAATAATTTCAAAATAGATTGTACTATTGTATGGAAGTGAAAGACAGTCATTTTGAACAATTATTGTAAAAATTTTTAGTAGTGAAATGTTTGTTCTAAATGTGTGTAATAAAATTGTTAAAAAATAATTTTTTTTCAATCCAATTTTCTTGCTTTTGTATTTACTTTTCTCATAAACTAATCACTTCAAGTATCATGTATTATACATTTCTAAAATCAGTACAAAAAGGAGAATCCAAATATAAAATAAAAAAAGGGGGAGGTAATTAAAAAAAAATAAAGGGTTGATACAGGGGGTGAGAGGGTGCATTTTCCAGCAACCTTAAATATGATATTATGCCTCCCCTTCAGATATTAATTAAAGTGTTTTTGCGTTTTTCCAAAAAATTAGAGGTTCAAAAGTTATTTAAGGTGGATAGTTTTATCTGAGAAGCACTGTATATGTTCACAAACATAAAAGTTATAGCAAAAAATAAAATTTTTAATTTCCACTTTAACACCCTGTATCTTTCTTAATATCAACATTTTATTAAAGCAACTTGGCTTAAATCGTACTATTTTAAATTGTAGAATCTGCGATTTTTTCTGTACAATTACTTAAGGACCACTCTGTATACCGTGCAGCCTCTGTAATGGACTGGATGACTACCTTTACATAAAGCGCAAATTGCAGGTTTAATACATTTATCTTATTTCTTATTTTATCTTATCTTATTTTATCTTTATATTTATTTTTTGTATCATGGCGAACTCCGCATTTTACGCAATTATATGCTTTTAAGCAATATGATTTGGAGTTTCCATAGGCCTGGCAACTGGTGCACTGGATTATACTGTCCTTTTGTCTTGGAGCCTCTACGTTAATTTTTTTAGTTTAATAGAAATTCTAATTCGCATGCTTTTAATATTTATGTTGGGTTTAATATCGATAAAGAATAGTGGAAAATGTTCTTTTGTTAGTATATGTTGAACATTGATTATATTTCAGACATGATGGTCTTTTTTCGAAAGTTCCGTTTTTATATCATCTATATCAATTGGAGTCCTCTTACTACAATTTTAGTTACTCTATCCTGTTGGGAAACACTTTTATTTTCTCCCATATAGCTTACTAGTTTCCTGTACGTTTCTGGAGTTAAGGCGTTTATTTTTACTACGCTATCTGTGAGTGTTTTTGTGTAATAAGTTTCAGCGGGGGTGATCCTTGTCAGTGAGTGGCATCATTGCCATATAGTCGGTCACTTCATAGCCATAGATTGGAGGTGGTCTTTGATCTTTTGATTAATTAGGTAATGTTTCGTTTTCAATGTTGTTGACAGTTTGGTTTTAATCGGTCTCTTGTTTTTCTAGTACTTGGAATATGTTGTTTGTGTATTTTACTTAGTAGGTCTATTTCTTTGTGATTTTTTGCTTTTTTTGGTTAATTTTTGCCACGGGGAAGTTTCATCTTCATTTGTATGACTTTTCATTTCTTCTTCGCTCGATGTCTGCTGTTGAAGGTAAATTGATTAGAAGAAGGGTTAGGGAAAGGTTGTAATTGGTTTTAGTGTTACTATGGCATATCTACCAATAATGAGTTTGGCTGTTGTAGAACTATGTATGATGTTTGCACCTCTGCGATTGGATATTATTGTTGGTCGACTGGATGATTTTGCTGGTTGAGAATAAATCCAGGTCCATTCCCGGTCGGGAAAATTTTTGTTGTAACAAATTAAATTTAATGATGATTAAATTTTATCCTTTTGTGTAGTTGGTTCTCTCCCATGAGAGATTTTATTTTATTTTGTTTTTAATCATCTGTGAATTTATTTTTATATAGCGATTTGATAAAATTCTGGTAAATTAAGATTTGCAAACACTTACTCAGAGGGTAGATATTGCACTTACACTTCTGGCCACATTTACAAATTAAACTGTTGATTTGTGGGTTATTTGACGATTTCTATAACGGTACGAATAGCTGTTGTTAACCAGATAAGGGTTCAACTGAACTATACATGTCATAAAATTAAAACGACAACTACGTGTTAATACACATGAACCATAGAAATGAAGGATGGTTCAGAGGAATAGAGATGGAACGGTCGGTCGATCAACACTCGGTCCGGCGAGGAGCGGAACGTGGCCAATCAACACTTAGCCACGGGAAAAATATAAAGTATGTCTCTGATCAATAGATAGCAACCTAATAAGGAGATATTAAAAGGTCTCGGAATTTTAAATAATCATTTTTATTAAATATTATCTTCATGAGATTGATTTTTTTTTCAGTTGTTTATTTGGACTATATAAGTGTCTGCTGGTTTTAGCCCTTAACTGTTTTTGAATGCCACTGTTATGGCTTTTTTTACTGCAATTTTCCGACACTTCGAGTAGAATTTATCTTAGATATAAATAATAAACAAATCACTTAAACTACCTAAATTTAAATATATATGAATCAACCTCATATATATTGCACATTTAAAACTCTATATTAGTCTTTTTTATTTATAGGAATTGTGGGTTTTTATTTTTTTAACATAAAGTTCTTTATATTTGGCCCTACTTTTGAAAGAAGTCTTATCTTTTATTTTGTTCTGCGTAACATTCTACAGAAAACGAAAACAAAATTATTCGTCTGAGTGAAACACAGTGAAACAGTAGATTCTTAAAAAGGAGAAAGACAAAACAGTCATATTTTCATATATGTAGTATATTACTCCTTTTTATTCTTTAGTAGTTCGGTTCTGAAACCAAGTTTGTAGTTCATATAATATGTCTTGCATTTTCTTTGTTTTCCGTGATAACAACATGACATATAAAAGATCATGATAGTCCTTATGGTTTCTTTTTAGTTGCTGATAAAACGGACAAAAATGGAATACTTATTATTTGTGGTCACCGTCCTGCATGTGAGAACAGTAGTTCAGTTGCTTTTCGCTTCGTAATAAAGTTGAAATAATTGGTGAATTACAAGTTAGACATTTCAACAGAGTTTTAAAAAGCTAGTTAGGCCAAATTAGTTTTTTACTCGACACAACTGTATAGACTTGTTTGATAATTGAAATGTGTAGTATGAGATAATACAAAAAGACTCTCATTTAGGAATTCATCAATTTTTTAATAGAAATATATGTAAATTACTATTAAACTGGGAATAAGCCACAATTAAAGATAAAAATACGTTTATTGACGTTTCAATTTCCACTTCGGAAATCGTTCTCAAAATACAAACAGTAAATTAAACAAATTTTGTTTTTTGTTACATAGTGAAAAATTCTTCTAATAATTTAATTTTATCTGACTCATTTATATTGACAATTCAGACATACATTATGCATTTTAAAGTAGACGACTTTAAAATGATATTGCCAATATTGTTGAGTTGCGCTCCTGGGACGACTTTACTTATAAGATAGTTCATTCGATTACATGAAATCAACTTTAACTTGAGAATATCCGTCAGAAAAAATCATAGCATGTAATTCGTCTTTAAAAAGACAAACACATGACATGATGACAGTAAAATTCTCCTGTTAGTGATTCCATAGTAAATTATGAGGGAAAAACCAGGAAAAAAACCTCATAATACTATCCCGACATTGTAAGTATTTGTTCGTGAATTTAGTTTACCTTCAACAAACATCAAAATTCTGATTTTATATGTTACGTTATTTAAAAAACATAAATGATGTATCCTCTATATGTTACTGACTTACTAATACTGGTATTTTCTTATTAATAACTTCCTCTTTCAATATTGGTAACCAGATCCTACTACATTCTGCCGAGGAATTTGCGACACAATTGGCCTCATTTAGCATAATTAGAGCCGCTTCTTTGATTTTTCTTTTTTTACCATCCGTTTCTTTTAGGACTACATTTGAATTATTCCATTGAACCCTATGTTCATTATCCCATGCGTGTTTACAGATTTGAGATCTATCAAATTCTCTATTTTTAATATAAGATTGATGTTCACTTATTCTAACATTTAATGGCCTTGATGATTCACCTAAATAAAACTGATCGCATTCACAAGGTATTTTATAAATGCAATTCTTTGTCCTTTCTTGTTCATTGTTAGGTTTGGTTTTGGACAAAATAGATCTCAACGTGTTTGTTGTTTTGAATGTTGTTGAAATGTTGAATTTATTTCCTATCCTTTTAAGTTTTTCTGATAATCCTTTTATGTACGGTATTGTTATTTTCCTCATATTATTCCTTGTGTATGCTGTAGGATCTCGTTCTAAGTTGTTCTGTTCTATTCGATCGATTGTTGAAAATTCCTTATTTATAAACGATAAAGGATAATCATTTTTTAATAAAACAGATGTTAACAAATGTTTCTCCTCCAAGAACGAATTTTCGTTAGAACAAGTAATTTTGGCTCTATCGTATAAGGATTTAATTATTCCCTTTTTAATTAATCGATCGAATAGATCAGAACAACTTAGAACGAGATCCTACAGCATACACAAGGAATAATATGAGGAAAATAACAATAGCGTACATTAAAGGATTATCAGAAAAACTTAAAAGGATAGGAAATAAATTCAACATTTCAACAACATTTAAAACAACAAACACGTTGAGATCTATTTTGTCCAAAACCAAACCTAACAATGAACAAGAAAGGACAAAGAATTGCATTTATAAAATACCTTGTGAATGCGATCAGTTTTATTTAGGTGAATCATCAAGACCATTAAATGTTAGAATAAGTGAACATCAATCTTATATTAAAAATAGAGAATTTGATAGATCTCAAATCTGTAAACACGCATGGGATAATGAACATAGGGTTCAATGGAATAATTCAAATTCCTCGGCAGAAGGTAGTAGGATCTGGTTACCAATATTGAAAGAGGAAGTTATTAATAAGAAAATACCACTATTAGTAAGTCAGTAACATATAGAGGATACATCATTTATGGTTTTTTTTTAAATAACGTAACATATAAAATCAGAATTTTGATGTTTGTTGAAGGTAAACTAAATTCACGAACAAATACTTACAATGTCGGGATAGTATTATGAGGTTTTTTTCCTGGTTTTTCCCTCATAATTTACTATGGAATCACTAACAGGAGAATTTTACTGTCATCATGTCATGTGTTTGTCTTTTTAAAGACGAATTACATGCTATGATTTTTTCTGACGGATATTCTCAAGTTAAAGTTGATTTCATGTAATCGAATGAACTATCTTATAAGTAAAGTCGTCCCAGGAGCGCAACTCAACAATATTGGCAATATCATTTTAAAGTCGTCTACTTTAAAATGCATAATGTATGTCTGAATTGTCAATATAAATGAGTCAGATAAAATTAAATTATTAGAAGAATTTTTCACTATGTAACAAAAAACAAAATTTGTTTAATTTACTGTTTGTATTTTGAGAACGATTTCCGAAGTGGAAATTAAAACGTCAATAAACGTATTTTTATCTTTAATTGTGGCTTATTCCCAGTTTAATAGTAATTAATTTACAATGCCACAAGAAAATAGCTTCAGAACAATATTAAGAAATATGTGTTTGTATGTTTAACACATTGGCTGCCACCATAAGAGTGTTAGGTAGGTTCCCCATGTGCCCAAATGAAAAATGCTTACAAAACAATATTTATTTATATAAATGGTTAATAATATAAAGTACGTTTATATTCTTACAATTTTTTTTTACACACGTATGTGCCATTAGTACTACGGCTGATTATGAACAACTTAATGCTTTTCAGTGAAACATGTCACACAGTAAAATTTTTCGTAAATATTATTAAATGTAGAAACAAGTTTAGGTTTCTTTTGAGCTTCTTTACTGCCTTTTGTACCAAATGTTTTAGTGTAACATTGGTTCCAACGTTTTCTCTTCTTCCTATTGCTAGTAGTTTTGCCGTCAACTGTAACAAACATTATGCTTTACAGTAGTAAAAGTTTAGGCATTGGAATATAATTCCCGAGATGAGATCACTTGTTTTTTTGGTGTGTTGAAGAAATTATATAATATTAAACTATTGATGACAGGCGTATTCAATAAAACTTCAGTTGCAGCTTTATGGTATCAGCGAACAGTTTTCCTCAGAGGTCATAAATAGCTTGCGAGTTGATCTGAGACGTCAACACTCCTTTGTTTTAGTTTATAATTTCTTTAAGTTTCATTATAGCTACACCGTTTTTCTTCTGTTTACGTGTTTCTTTCATGCCCATTCCATTTCTGATCGTCAAGAAGTGGAGATTACGTTTATTGTGCCATTTGCCTATTACAATGCTGTCACGATGTTCCTTTGCAATGATCTCTCCCTTTTTTAATTTTGCGGAAAGTATATATATATATATATATAATATATATATATTATATATATATATATATTATATATATATATATATATTGGATTTGAAACTTCCGCGGGAGCTATATGTGATTTCAGTTGTTTTCCGGGTTTGACTCCGCGTTTAAGTAATTTTAGTTTTTAGAAAAACCATTGTTTGACGACAACTGAAACATCAAGACGAAGCAGAACTAATCTGACTTGACAATGGCAAGTG